GCAAACCTCGGTGTTGCTCCCACGCCTCGCTCAGCCAGTGAGCGGGAACCGGTCTGTATGTGGGATCTGAACCCTTGGGCGGGAGCGCCGCCGCGCTTCCCAAGTGGCGCACTATCCAGTGCGCCACTGGGCCGGCCCCTAAAAACTATTTTTTAAAATAAAATTATTTCTAAAAATTTTAAAACTTTGTATCAATGACCTGAACTTTAAATATAACATAAGCAAGATTATTATGCTTAACACTTATTTATATACTTTATTCCATTTCTTAGCTGAAATCTGTCTGACAATATCATTGGTACTTTTCTGAAAACTATTTTTAATATGGTTTTATTTTTAACTTTTCAATAAAATTGCCTACAACCTCCAAATTTTCGTTTTACAGTTAAATGACTTGAAATTGGTGACCCCTTCATTTGACTCTTCTCTACAGACCATATTTGCCTTGGGTTGAATGTCACCCCAAAACTTAATCCCCACTATTATCTGTTCAGGGTAGGAAATCCTATTATGGTAACTGAAAGGTGGGGCCTTGAAGAAGTGATTGGATTGTAGCACTGTGCTGTCTGGAGTGAATGAATTAAAAATGGTGGTCACGGGGCCGGCCCGGTGGTGCACTGCTACAGTGCGCCGCTTGGGAGCGTGGTGGCGCTCCGCCGAGGGTTCGGATCCCACATACAGACCGGTTCCCGCTCGCTGGCTGAGCGAGGTGCGGGAGCAACACCAAGGGTTGCAATCCCGTTGCCGGTCCCGGTCCGGTCCGGGGGCGACACTGAGGGTTGCGATCTGTTGCCGGACACGGAAACAGACAAAAAGGAAAAAAATAAAAAATAAAAATGGTGGTCAGGGGCATGGTTCTTAGGGCTTTTATTTATTTATTTATTTATTTTTTCCCTTTTTGTCTTTTTTCGTGTCCAGCAACGGATCGCAACCCTCAGTGTCGCCCCCGGACCGGACCGGGACCGGCAACGGGATTGCAACCCTCGGTGTTGCTCCCACACCTCGCTCAGCCAGTGAGCGGGAACCGGTCTGTATGTGGGATCCGAACCCTCGGCGGAGCGCCACCACGCTCCCAAGCGGCGCACTGTAGCAGTGCGCCACCAGGCCGGCCCGTGGTTCTTAGGGCTTTTAAAGGAGAGTGAATGAGGTTAGTGTCTCTCTCTTGCTTCATTTTGCAATGGTGTCACTGTCACCACCACCAAGACCTTCATCAGCTGTGTTCCCTGGACTTTGGACTTCCCAGCCTCTGAAACTGTAAGCAATGAATTTCATTTTCTTACAAATTACCCAGTTCCATGTATTCTGTTATAAGCAATAGCAATGGACTTATACAATATTTCAAATGGAGGGTATTGTCTCTATAGGTACTGAAGTACCTGGTGAACTCAGAACAAATTTTGCTAAATGGAGGATATTTTCAAGTCCAATTTTTTCATATTAAAAACAAATACAAGGGCTCCAGGGTTTGATCCCTGTACCAGCCAGCACCACCCCCCCAAAAAAAGTTTGCTACCACTAAGGAAAACACAGATTCACAGAGCAGTTCTTCAGATGCCTCATTTTTTCTTTTTGGTGCAGCAGGCAGGTACTGGGATGGAGCCCTGGACCCTGGTATTATCGGCACCATGTTCTAACCAGCTGAACTAACCAGCCAGCCACTAATGTTTTTCAGTGTCTGCTCCATGATGAGCAACGAAGAAAGTGTGGACTGCTGGGCCGGCCCGGTGGCGCACTGGATAGTGCACCGCTTGGGAAGCGCGGCGGCGCTCCCGTCCGAGGGTTCGGATCCCACGTGCAGACCGGCTCCCGCTCACTGGCTGAGCGAGGCGTGGGAGCAACACCGAGGCTTGCAATCCCGTTGCCGGTCCCCGGTCCGGTACGGGGGCAACACTGAGGGTTGCGAGCACTGGATAGTGCGCCGCTTGGGAAGCGCGGTGGCGCTCCCGCCCGAGGGTTCGGATCCCACATACAGACCGGTTCCCGCTCAATGGCTGAGCGAGGCGCGGGAGCAACACCGAGGGTTGTGATCCTGTTGCCGGTCCCCGGTCCGGTACGGGGGCAACACTGAGGGTTGCGATCCGTTGCCGGACACGGAAAAAAGACAAAAGACAAAAAAAAAAAAAGAAAGTGTGGACTGCTATGCTTGCTTTTCAAAAAATTATTCAGCATCAGCTTCTCGCAGAAATTTTGCTGTTTGGTCTACTCTACATGTACATTTTAAAAACTGGTAAATTTTGTTAAAACTATACGATATCATTTCACACCCATTAGGATGGCAATTATAAAAAAAACCCCAGAAAACAGGAAATGTCAGTAAATGGAGAAACTTGAACCCTTGTGCATTGCTGGTGGAAAAGTAAAATGGTGCTGACACTGAAAACCATTACAGAAATTCCTCAAAAAAATTAAACATAGAATGCCCATCTGGGGCCGGCCCATGGCTCACTCGGTAGAGTGCGGTGCCGATAACACCAAGGCCGCGGGTTCGGATCCCATATAGGGATGGCCGGTTTGTTCACTGGCTGAGCATGGTGCTGACAACACCAAGCCAAGGGTTGAGATCCCCTTACCGGTCATCTTTTTTAAAAAAAAAAAGAATGCCCATCTGACCCAGGAATTCCTCTTCTGGGTACATACACAAAAGAACTGAAAGCAGGAATTCAAACAGATATTTGCATACCATGTTCATGCAGCATTATTCACAACAGCCAAAACGTGGAAAAAACCCCAATGTCTATCAATGGAAGAATGAAGAAAATGTGGTATGTAATGGGATTTTATTCAACCTTAAAAAAGGAGGTAATCCTGTCACATGCTACAACACGGATGAACCTTGAGGACATTATGCTGAGTGAAATAAGCCAGTCACAAAAGGACAAATATTGTATGATTCCACTTATATGAGGTACCTAAAATAGACTAGTTTATAGAGACACAAAGTATAGCAGTGGTTGCCAAGGGCTGGGGGAAGGAAGAATGGGGTGCTACTGTTTAATGGGTACGGAGTTTCAGTATGAGATGATGACAAAGTCTGGAGATGAGGGTGGTGACAGCTGCACAACAATGTGAGTATACTTACTGCCACTAGCTGCCCACCTACAAATGGTTAAAATGGTAAATTTAATATTACGTATGTGACCACAATTCTTTTTTAAATTGGTAAACTTTAACTATAATCTCTATTTTCATTGACAGATTATCTAGACATATGAATTCTGTGTGCAATACAACAAATACCAAATACATTTCCACTCCATAGGTTTAATTTAGTATGAACATTATTTTTTATCAAAATATGTATTCATCCAAATTTGTACTCATCACCACATTCCCTGTTTATTTTTTTTTTTTTTTGTCTTTTGTCTTTTTTCCGTGTCCGGCAACGGATCGCAACCCCCAGTGTTGCCCCCGTACCGGACCGGGGACCGGCAATGGGATCGCAAGCCTCAGTGTTGCTCCCACGCCTCGCTCAGCCAGTGAGCGGGAGCCGGTCTGTATGTGGGATCCGACCCCTCGGACGGGAGCGCCGCCGCGCTTCCCAAGCGGCGCACTATCCAGTGCGCCACCCGGCCGGCCCCCTGAACATTATTTTTTTTTTTTTTTGTCTTTTGTCTTTTTTCCGTGTCCGGCAACGGATCGCAACCCCCAGTGTTGCCCCCGTACCGGACCGGGGACCGGCAATGGGATCGCAAGCCTCAGTGTTGCTCCCACGCCTCGCTCAGCCAGTGAGCGGGAGCCGGTCTGTATGTGGGATCCGACCCCTCGGACGGGAGCGCCGCCGCGCTTCCCAAGCGGCGCACTATCCAGTGCGCCACCGGGCCGGCCCCATGAACATTATTTTTTATCAAAATATGTATTCATCCAAATTTGTACTCATCACCACATTCCCTGTTTATTTTTTTTTTTAACTGAATTCAGGGCAGTATTCACCCTGATATCAGATGTTTTACCTTTGAGAGAAGGAACTTCCAAAGGTTTAGCTTTGACTTTGTAAATTGAATGAAACAAAGGGAACTGTTAGCTCCTTTTTTAGGAATGAACTTATCTGATTTTCTACTTACAGTACATAACACTGATACGCAATCGGCGTCCTATAACTGTTTACAAAGTTTTCTGCTAACAGAGCCAGTACGTGAACAGCTACTACATTTTTAATGTGTGCATAAGAAATCATGCAATTAAAAAATGAATGAGAATATAAAAGAACTCTTTGATCTAAATGAAAAGTCATTCACAATTTGTGTACATGTACCTTCTGCAACTGCACATCCTAAGTCACCTTCCGGAACACTCTTCTTAAAATTACTACTGACTTTGAAGTAGACGATGTTGCTTCTTTAGAAAGTTTGTTTTCTAGTTTTCATGTTGTCAGTGTTACCACTTTGGCTCCCGTGGTAGATGGTAATGTAACACACATTTTATTCAGGTTTCTAGTTCACCATCAACCTTCTTGAGAAAAAAAATTTGATTTTTAAAATTAAACTTGTAGTTTCATTTTATGGAGGTTCTTGTTTCCACAGCAGTTCATTACAGAAGACTTAGAACAAATTTCCTCACTGGGTGCCTTGGCCAATGGAAGGATTTGACCATACTCTTGTAAGGTTGTAGCTCTTCCAAGTCCCAGGTCTCAGGCATATGTCTTAGGTCCTACTTTATGCAAATGTCTTAGTTTTAACTCTCTACTGTATCAGGCTTATGAATTGGCCAAGAAACAGCCTTCTCTAATCCCTGGGGTGAATTCGTGATCCTCAGGGCAGTGTCACCAGCCTGGTTCTTCTTCTGTTCTTGGCCCTAGTGGAGTTCCCTCACTTTCTTGTAAACTCAGCTTGAAAAAAAGATGTTGTTTCTTCTCTGTAAAGTGGGGATGATGATGGTGATATTAATTCCACAAAGTTAATGTATGTAAAGCACTTGGAATAGTGTCTGGCAGTATTAGACAATATTCTTTTATCCAGTATTTATTTCCACGTATTTATTGCAGGGCGGGTTTTCAGAATTTCAAGTCCAGTATATGACTGGATGTGGAATGTTTATATAGTTCATAGCACAAGTTATAGGTAATTTTATATTTTATACATTTGTTTGGATATGCAATTTAGGACTGTACTGTACTTATGGAACTGCACCCTCCTGAAGCTACATAAAGAACATTTATTTATCTTAGGAAAATATGGTATACATTTATAAACATATAAATTTTTTGTGTAGGCTTATGATTTAGCAGTTTTAAGTCAAAAATAGCAAAGAAATCTGGATCACCAGTCTTTCTTTAAAAAAAAAAGCACAAAATAGTTTGAATTTTATGAGATATTTCATTTTAATTGATTTAAAAACATGATTTGGACTGACTGGTTAGCTCATTTGGTTAGAGTGTGGGGCTGATAATACCAAGGTCCAGGGTTTAATCCCTGTACCAGCCAGCCACCAAAATAAAAATTTTAAAAAAACATGATTGTCTGGGAGCATTTCTCTGTGTTGAATGATGTTTCCACAGTTGATCCTCACATTTGGCTCCCGGTAAACTTTACAAAATTATAACAGCAACAACAACAACAAAACCTGTGATTGTCCCTGTATATAGACATGAAAATACACTGACATATTTGGATATACTAAATATATTTTTTGTGGCTTCATATTCTTTATATAAAAGTATTATTAAGATCAAAGCATATTACACTTGCTAAAAATTACCAATATTTTGATTTTTCTGTAATTTTCATCAATTTCTGGAACACTTCCCCACTAAACATATTAAGATTCTAGAAAAATAAAAGATGACAATAGTCCTCTAATTAAGAGCAATTTGGGGGTGAGAAATAGCAATGTCTAAGAATGTGCAACCAAACTACAGTGTACATTTAAGTGAGTTTTTAAAATTTAAACAATTCTTAAAATTCTTTCAAAAAGCATATTGACCACACTTTAAATACATGTTTTTGTTTTTTTTTTTAAAGATGACCGGTAAGGGGATCTTAACCCTTGACTTGGTGTTGTCAGCACCAAGCTCACCCAGTGAGCAAACTGGCCATCCCTACATAGGATCCGAACCCGTGGCCTTGGTGTCGTCAGCACTGCACTCTCCCGAGTGAGCCACGGGGTCTGCCCTTAAATACATGTTTTTGTTTTTTTTTTAAAGATGACCAGTAAGGGGATCTTAACCCTTGACTTGGTGTTGTCAGCACCAAGCTCACCCAGTGAGCAAACTGGCCATCCCTACATAGGATCCGAACCCGTGGCCTTGGTGTCGTCAGCACTGCACTCTCCCGAGTGAGCCACGGGGTCAGCCCTTAAATACATGTTTTAAATATCTAAAACAAATATTTTTCTCCTTAATTTCCCCCTATCCCCCCTCCCAAAAAAAACCTGTTGGAATGGCTGGGGAGGGTGCAGTGACAAGGTGCTCTGGACACTGTGGGAGAGGTTCGGTTTGCCACAGTTCCTGAGTGAACCAATCTCCATGGAAACGTGGACTGCAGCCTGTGTGATGTGCACTTTTGTGGAGGTTGTTATGTAGGTATATATTTGTTATGTAATGTTTAAGGACCTTTTCCTGGCCAAAAAAACTTTAATCATGCTCATTACAGAATAGTTGAGAATACAGAAAAGTATAGAAAAGAAGATAAAAACACCTGTAATCTTACCACATAGAAATACCTACTGGCAATATCCTGTCGTATGTGTTTCCTGTCTTTTTTCTAAGCATATAAATATATATATATATGTGGTTATATTGTTCACAGAATTTGATATCTTATTTCTACTGAGTAAAATGGTATTGAGTTGCTTTCTCTTCGCCTTATATATTCTTCATAAGAATTTATGATTTTAATTGCCAAAAAAAATCTTTCATTGAATGGATATACCATACTGTAAAAGATTTTAAAGAGTGGTATTTATAATTTTACAGTTTAAAAATTTTATTCTGTGTATTTGTATTTTTACAGCTATTAAAGTTTTATTTTGTGTATTTGTTATTTTATAGAACTTTAAAAGCTATGAAATTAAAAATATATATCATATTGACAACTGATGCCTCTCAGCATGCAATTCAACTGGTACATGGTCTCTTTATGTTTTCATAAGCCCTCAAAGGCTGGGAAGAGCCAGCAAGTTAGACACTGCACCAGAATATTACACCCCCACATTTCAGGTCACATTCATAAGGGTCCACTTGCAAGCAACAGATTCCATATTGAGTCACACATGGAGAACTGAAGGTCTGCTTGTAAAGTTCACGTGCTGAACTCCTACAAGCTGTAAAACAGAGTTTATGGGTTTGTGATCCAACCTGTTCCTATCACGATGTATAAAATGGATGGTGTTACCTGAAAGAGATAAGTATTATTCTCATTAGATTTATTGCTTACTAGAATCAAGGAAGCTTTTCAAGTTTTAATTAGTCCAAAAGGAAAAATTAATTTTTTGGAGTATTTTATATTCACTATATTCTCTATAATTCTCATAATATTTAAAATTATGGTTATAACATTGTCAGGATTATGATTAAATTAAGAGTGTTACTTAGTGTTTTATGAGATCAAAAGGGAAATATTTTTAAATTATAACCTTCTGTTGGGTTTTATTAAATATAATTAAGAAGGTCAAGGGTTCAGATCCTCTTACCAGCCAGCCATCAAAATAATAATAATGAAATAAAATAAATATACTTAAGTAAAATGTCCTGCTAGACAGGCCTGTCAGATGGAACTAACATAGATGTCACACTGGAAATTCATATCTGTTTCTTAAACATAATATGGAATAAATCACTTGCTTCAGAAAATTCACTACCAAATAGTGATTTAATAGGCTATCTGTATTATAACCATAGTCCAGAATAGGCTCAAAAAGAAGGCATTGAGACAATCAGTTACAAATATACTTAGATTGTACAATATACACAGTCCTTATATCTGCTAAATAAAATCAGTCATAATTTATAATCAAGGTTCTGTTTACTTTGATTCTTGACCTCAAGACCAGATTTTTAACTTAAAATATTAGATTCAGTACCATAAGAAGCATGTTTCCTGCACTGTACTCAGCTGCCATCTACAGCAATCACTAGGTATAATACCACAGATTGGCTCATTATCAAGTGAGGCAAAATGAACTGCTGGGTTAACCATGATACAGATTTTTGTACAGAAGTACACCTAGGCTAGCAGGTTGGCTCACTTGGGCGTGGTGCTGATAACACCAAGGTCAAGGGTTCAGATCCCCGTATAGGCCAGCTGCCAAAAAAAATAAGTACACCTAGCTCTTTTCCTTAGAAGAGCTATATTGTTTTTTTCCAGCAGGCACTATCAAAATGTTCTCCTTATGAATTATCTTCCCACTCGGCACACAGATGATGCCTTCCTGTGCTCTTTGTTCTTAACCCAATGGAAGGTGCGGTCAAATGATTCAGAGGAGAGACTCAAGAAACAACCCTTTCCAGTTGTAAGGATGGAAACAGTCATTCAAAAATATGGGTCCATGTCACTCTGAGCTAAATCACAGGATTCATCTCACAAAACAGAGCTTCCCTGTTAACTAATCAAACTGGTGTAAATACATGAGAGAGGGAAAGGAAGATTCTGGCTATAGTGTTACCCCTGCAAAAAGCCAAAAAGTCATAATACTCTGTCAAAATGCTCTTTCTAAAGTCTTCCTTTTAAAAATCTGGAATGTATGAAAGTAAGTATTAATTTTATAACTCTTAGGAGTTATGCTCACTAATGTGGACAGTTTTTTGGTTTTGGGGTTTTTTTTTTTTGCAACTTGCTGGTATGGGAAACTGAGCCCTTAAACCTTAGTGTTACAAAGCTGTGCTCTAACCAACTGAGCCAACTGGCCAGCCCCAAATGTGGACAGTTTTAAAGAGAAAGAAGAACCAAGAAAACAATACAGTGCTAACAACAAAGTGTTTTGGCTTTTTGGCAATGTCAGCTATGGGTGTTTGTCCCTTACTGGAAAACTTGAACAT